GGGAGCGCGTCCCGACCGCGCCCAGCCCCGCGCCTCTGGAGCGCACAGGGCGCCGTCCAAGCGCCGCGAACCCGCACGGAGCAGGTGGGCGCTTCCGCCTCGGCTCTCCTGGGGGGAGGGGGACAGCGGCCGCGCGAGACGCCACTCACTTTGTTCAGCATCTGAAAGACAAATGCAAAGAAAAACACAAAAAAACCAACAGTCAGCGACACGGCTCCCTGACGTGGGCTGACCCTCAGGCAAGCGCTCCCGGGGCCACGGTGCACCTGACGCTCACCTCGGGGTTGATCTCCATGGGTTTCAGCTGCATCGTCGCGAAGCGCAGGTGAGCTCGACGCCCGGAGAGGAGGAAAACAGCGAGCGGAGCCGCCCAGGCTGCCCCTATAAAGCGCCGGCCTGACGCACTGTGGGTGCCTGCGCAGGGGGATCGGGGCCGAACCAACGAGGGGGAGACGCTCAATCCCGGCAAGATGGGCCCGAGCTCCCCCCTGCGCGGCGCGCAGTGGAACGGCCGGGCCCCCGAGCCGCGCGGCCTCGCTCGCCGGTGAGATAATCCGGAGGCTGGGAGATGGGCTTGGTGGTGGGTGATCTTGGAGTGCATGGAACGGCCCTTTGGACGGAACCTGATTTTTTGCGAAGTTTCTGGAAACTCGTCTTTTCTACCGTCCGAATTACCCGAAATCTCAGGGTTTCGGAAACGTTGAGAAAAAGCTCAAATTCAACAGGTATATATTTAATATGAATATAAATATATGTCTCCCAAATCTCGCAGCAGTTTGCATTTGACCTTAGACAAGTTCTCCTCCGTGTTAAATCAGACCAGTGCCGTGTTCCGTTTTTTAATTGACTGGCTAGAGTAAAGCATAGCCTGGAATATAACAGATTTTGCATTACTACCGCTGATGTAATGTGACTCCCTGGGGACAGCTGGCGGGTCCTGCGGCAGCTGTAGAAACCTGGGGGATGTGCGCGCAGGGGCAGAAGGTGGGGGACAGGAGACAGACCCAGGGAAGAGACAGGTATGGTTTCCAGATGAAGGGATGCGAAAGGCAAACCATCTGCAAAAGAATGGAGGCTTTGCGAAATAAAATTCTGAGTTCAAAATAGAATGCAGTGACTAAGAAAGGGAATGGCAACGAAAGAAACCACTGTTCTCTGATGATCTCAGGTGGTGGTGGTTTTTCCTACCAGCCTATTAAAAAAATGGAGAGAGAAAGCATTTGCTGAAGGATGAATAAAAAGAGGAGCAAAAATCTGTAAGCATTATGCCAGGAAAGCTAAACCTCAGGGTGTAGTGGGGTTCACAGAAATACTAAGGAAGCTAGAAGGCTGGGTATTTTTTTAAAAACGAGGTTAGACCAGAACAATGATGATGGTGAAAGAGCAGACTTCCTGTTTAGGGGTCCAAGGTTGACCGATGACAGCGAGAAGGGAGGGAATCTACACTGTTGACGTTATTATCGATACAGTAGATCAGATCTTTTGCACGTCATTTCATTTAATCCTTAGAGTATCCAATGAAGAAACTTAATAGTGCTATTTTGCAGATTAGAATCCACGGCTTAAAGAGGTTACTTGCTTATGATCACAATAGAAAAGTGAAACAGAAATAAACCCTGGTAACTTGGGCTCTAGGAGCGCATTTTCCATCCAAGGTTTCACTACATTCCGCTTCTCTTTTTCCCCATTTTATCCCTAGAAAAATGACCTTTACACAGAAAATGAGAGGAAAAAACAAAATAGTGTGAAGAATTTAATGAACGAATTTTATGATATGTAAATTATGCCTCAACAAAGTTGTTTTTTAAAAAAACAAAAGATAATAACTTGAAAGTCAAGCCTGGTAATTAGGTAGTTGGAGAACACCTGGCTATGTTGAATGAGTTCTTGCCTTCGAACAGAGACAAATTACATCCCAATTTACTTCATTTATTCAACAAATATTGATTAAGCACCTACTTCATGATGGGCACTGAGCATGGAAACTTCCCTCATAGAGATTTTATCAATAATAAGAGTGGTGTCAAAGGGAGTGGAGCTCAGGAGCCCCTAACCTAGTGCAGGGGATCAGGAAGGCTTCCAAAAGTGAGTGACATTTAAGATAAGGGCTGATGGACAGTTAGGCAGTTATTACCAAAATAAATAGTAAAAGTGGCCATGAAAACACTATGAGAAATCTTTGTTAAAGGCATTCATTCATTCACTCAACAAATATATGAATTGAGTACCTACTAGGTGCCAGGAAACATCAGAGCAATGAATAAAACAATTAACTCCCTGCTTACAAGGCAATGTCAGAGACCGGACATGAACAAACCTTATACTGAGCTTTAAAAAGGTGGGGAGGGTGGCAGGGGGGGATGCATTGCTGAAAGTACAGGCGAGGAGATTTGGTATCAGTCATTAGCCAAACTCTAGGGCTCATAATTTGTGAACTCTTAGGAAAAAACAACACAGAATGGTTGCATATAGAACAAGTGATGTCAGCCAGCACTTACCTCCTTTTCTTTAGCGGTCACTAGCTAGATAAAGAGGCAGAACAAGTCTCATTGTGTTCTTCATGATGCTTGGGTTAGCATCAATTGATATGACAGTTGAGGTGGTTTTATAGCTTATTTAAATTATTCTACCTTTAAAAAAAAGTGCTGCTGAACAGAGTAATCTCAGCCTGCAACCACCTGGCCATAGTTTTCACCCTGTCTTGTGCAGTTTTACTAGAGTGGAGAGACAGAGTGTGCCAGTGAGAACAAGCTATCTAAATTATGAGATTTAGGAAAATAAGTTTAAAATAAATGATGAAATTCAATAGAAATTTTGATAATGGTTGTACACTCCTATGCATATACCAAAAAACTTTAAATGGATGATTATCTTAATAAAGCTGTTAAAAATTCAATACAGATATGTGTGAAGCTCTGCATGTCAATTATTATAGTACAGTTAATCAACTCAGTTTTTTCTTGATTCTATGGTTATAAAAATGTTTTTTACTTTATAGATAATATATATTATAACAATGTAATAAAATGGATTATGTAATATGAATATTAAAAATCAAGTGAAAAATAAGTCACAACATTTTGATTATAACCATTTAAAAATGAATACATAAAGAACAGAAGGAAAACATTTTTAAAAAGTGAAACACTTAGGATAAACAGGGAGCAGACCTGTTATAGGTGGAGAAGCAAAATCAAGAATAAGTTGTCCTTCATAAATAATGATACCATTTCTAATTCACCAGCAATAGAATTTTTTATCACAAGTATTATTTTTCTAATAATAGTGAAGATTTAGAATGGACCCTTTAGAAACTACCTTCTTATGATTCTAGTCACTAATAAGACAAGGATTCAAATATCCTTGGCAGGTCAGTTCCACAGTGTTATGGGAGTCAATCCTGAAAGCTTATCCCCAAGGTTAGCCCTTCAGCGCTTCCAGTGGTTTTGTAATCCCCTAATTCCCTGTATTAAATCTCTTTCTACCTAGAGTAGTTTTGGACTCGCAGTTGGTACTGCATGCATACCAATAGTGGTACATGAGGTCCTGCCCTAGCATCCCTCAGTTACTATTCTTGTGCAGTTGTAATATTCGAAATCAGAGGGCTTTTGTGGGCTTAGATCAACCACCAATGGTGTGAACGTAGGCAGGTTAATTAACCTCTCTGTATCTCAGTTTCCTCAACAGTAAAATGAGGATTTCATGAACTCAACGATTTCTCCCAATTCTGGCGTAACAAGGACCTTGAACAGCAGAAAATAAAAGGCATATAGACCAAATCATATAAAAGTTTGAGTTAAGTCTGCTTTCATCTTTAATTCCTAACTTTTAGCCATTAGGCTTTTTAAAAGTCACTAGGATATAATAAACAAGATTTAACAATTAAAATTTGTTTTTGTAGGTGCTTTAGCAATATTTGTTACATATTTCCTCTTACCAGGAGGTTGGTATATGAGGAATAGGATAAGCTGAAAAAAATCAAGTCTGTAAATATACCAGGGAGAAATGCTTTCTTGAGAACACTGCTGGGTTCTAAGACCTAACCAAGCATTTTTCCAGAACCTTTCGAGTGAATAAATCAGTATACAGAAGCGTCTTGGTCTTGCCTGGACGTTTAGCTTCAATAGCCTAAGAATAGGAAACAATTTTTTAAAATGTGAACAAGTTAAACCGGGGAGGGGAAAAAAAACCCTCAACCCATGAATTCACTACCCTAAGAAATTCAGTTTCACTCTACACATACGCTTTCCAGTACTTGGCCATTTGTGTAGCAAATTCTGTTTGGGTTCCCAACCGAAATGTAATCTCTTCTTCCTTCCTAATCTGGCTGCCCACTGTTCTAGCCCCAACTCAATACTGCTTTCTCAGACTCCAGCTCAGATCTACTTTTCAGGGGGCAGTGAAGAGGGGAGGAGGAGAAAGAGGGGGTTGTCCTTGGAGCACTCCTTTGCCTCTTGTGAGACCAGCAGTATTTCAGATAATGTGTCCTACATAGTGTCTCGGTATACTTTTAGTGGAAGAGCCCTCAGGCACTAGGTCAGCCACAATGCCAGAAGCAGATACTGTTTCTTTTCATCAGCTACCAAATTTTCATCACTAACCCTTCCCCCTTAAAAACTGCCCTTGTGAAAACTAACCAGAGCTGAGCCTCATGCCTATCTCAGTAAGGGGGCTCTGATCACTTAAGGAGAGTGGGGAGCCCATTGTATCTCAAGAAGGAAAAATTAAAAGAAATCCACGTTGTGTCTCTAAAAGAAAAAAAAATTCTTTAAATCCATGCTTAGCCCTAGCCGGTTTGGCTCGGTGTTTAGAGCATCGGCCCTTGGACTGAAGGGTCTCAGGTCTGATTCTGGTTGAGGACATGTACCTTGGTTACAAGCTCGGTCCCCGGCCTTAGTCGGGCCATGGAGGGGGAGGCAACCAATCAATGTGTCTCTCTCACATCCATGTTTCTCTCTTTCTTTCTCTTGTCCTTCCACTCTCCCTGAAAAGCAATGGGAAAAATATCCTCAGGTGAAAATTATAAATAAATAAATAAAAAAATCCATGCTTAGGTATAAGCAGTGAAACTGCAGAACACTAAGAACCCAGAAAGATTTTAGAGTCGGACATTGAGAAAGCATAAATGAAAATGACATCAGTGTCCTCACAGCAATCAAGGAAGCCAGGTTACAGTGGAATAATACCTCCAATGTCCTTAGAGAAAATAGCCATCATCCTTGGATTTTGTGTTCAGCAAAACTATCTTTCAAAAACAAAGGTGAAAAAAATGTACATATAAACAGAAGCTGAGTTTACGACCTAGAGACCTACCTGTGCAAAGAAATTTCTAAAGGATATAAAGAAGAAATAAAATGATTCCGTAGATGGTCTGAGGAAAGGGATTAAAATAATATTCAG